TGACATACAACTATCTACTGGGGCTTTGGGGGAAAAATAAATAAATAAATAAAGTTATGAAAAAAAAATATGATGGTATTGGGGGTGGGCACTTTGGGAAGTGACTAGGTCATAAGGAAGAACGGTCATGAATGGAATCAGTGCCCTTATAAAAGAGATGCCAGAGAGCTCTCTTGCCCCTTCTGCCATTGAGTTTTCAGCTGAGGAGGTGGCCATCTCTGAAGCAGGAAACGGACTCTCACCAGAACTTGACCGTGCTGGCGCCTTGATCTTGGACTTCCAGCCTCCGGAACCGTGAGAAATAAGTTTCTGTTGTTTATAGCTACCCAGGCTGTGGTACTTTGTTATAGCAGCCAAAACAGACTACGACCTACTGCATGCCAGATATGGCGCTAAGTGCTTTGCATGTATTAACTCAGTAATAACCCTGTGAGTTAGTGCTATGCTCACCCTCATTCAGAGGTGAGAAAGGGGGCACACAGAAAGTTAGATCACTTGCTCAAGGTCACAGAGCCAGGAAGTGGCAGAATGCAAACCCAGGCCACCTGGCTAAAGGTGACCCTCCTAACCACTACGCGAGGCTGCTATTTCACTTCTGACTATATCACAAAGAGCTAGAGATGTAACTCCAAAATGCTTTGAAAAGGAAGGAATTGCCTTAAATTCAGTGTTTCAAAGATCAAGATTATGATGCTGCTATGTGAAAATCAGGCTGTGAATTTACTGATGTAGACACAAATGTTCCATCAAAGAAAGAATCTCAACAGCTCTAAGCTGGGGCAATGGTTCTCTTCAAAGGCAGAATGTACAGATTCAGAACTAAAGGAATGCTAAGCTGTACCACCCCAGGCAAATGACTCTACCTCTCAGAGCTTCTCTTTTGTCTGTAAAACGGAGATAATAATGGGCCTCCTAGGACCAGGATAACTCAAAGAACGTGTGTAGGGGCTCAGGAACATGCTGGCACATCCAGATCCTCAACAATGTCACTGCCTGTTAGCCAAGGAGTCCATTTGTTTACTTATTCATTCTTAGTAATTAGTAAGTAGTTATTATCAGTAATTTATGCTTATTAATAAAGGATCAATGGTTACTAATCACCACGAGCAAAGTAAATGGTTAGGTTAATTCTTCTGATGACATCTTGGCCTAGACATTTTTAGGTAAAAGGTGGTTCTCAGTGAGTCACTATTGTATAGTGGAAAGAAAACAAGTCTTACAGCCTGAAGTCTGGGGTTAGAGACCCGTCCAGCAAGTCACTGGAACTTTTAACCTCCCAGAGCCTCAGTTTCGTACATAATCTGCAAAATGGGTACAATAATATTTCCTCCAGACCCTGTCAAAAAGTGGTCACCAGAACTGAACACAAATGTTTGGATGGCATTTCCACTGGATTCCATGCTGTCCTCCTCATAAGTCCCCTCTGCTTACTTGTCCTGGAGAGAGTGGTCAGTCGGTCACCTCGGGTCTCAGCAGCCACTGTGAAAAGAAACCACCCAACTTCTGTTATTGATCCAGCTTGGCATGAAAGCTAGGCAGGGGTCACCTGCGAATGAAACAGGTTTGGGGGCTGAGGGACGAGGAGTGAAGGTCATGGCAATTTCATCGGGGAATGTGTCTGCACATTGGTGCTCAATTAAGTCCCGGTTCAGTGGACAAGGAGCCAGATAGGGTCAGTCCTGTATTTAGGCAAGGAGATCAGCAAACGACCTCTTTGGGAGAAAGGGCCATTCTTTCCCCTGATTGGAACAGGTCCTTGTGGGAAGGCAGCTTAAGAGGGAGTTTAGTCTAGAAGTCAGGAAGGACACATCGGAGGCCTCAACTCCCAGCCCTGCCAGTCAGCTCTGTGTCTTGGACAACTTCTCTCTCCTTCTCAATTTACCATCTTAATATGGAGATTATAGCAATTATTTCAGGGGGTTGTGTGAGCATTAAATGAGATTGTGTATTTTAAGCAAGTCGTCCAGTATCCTGCATGTGATTGGATGGTGTGTGCTATTTTTGTAGCCACACTGAAATTCCTGGAAGAAGATGCTTGTCCAGAATCTTCCTAGGCTCCCTCTCATTTAATCCTTCTGCTACCCTAAGGGATAGGTATAATCATCCCTTTCCAGGGATTGTTGAACTGTGGCCCAGTGGCCTGTCTTTGTAAATAAAGTTTTATTGCAACACAGCCATACTCACCCAGTTACAGTTGTCTCTGGCTGTTTTCCTGCTGCAATGGCAGAGTTGAGTAGTTGTGACAGAGATCCTATGGCCCACAAAGTCTAAAATATTTACTATCTGGCCCTTTACAAAAAAAATTTGCTGATCCCTCCTTTATGCAAATGAAGGATTTGAAGCTTAGAGAGATTAAACCATGCTTCCAAAGTCACATAGCTGAAAAATGGGAAAGCCAGGATTTCATTCCAGATCTGCTTGACTCCAAAACATAATTGTTTCATTACGTGATGGTGAGAATAGTTACAAGCCCTATATCTTGTCCTTGCAAACTGTCTCACCTGCAGTTCTGTGATTTATTTATTTTTTTTTTTTTTTTGCTGAGGAAGATTCTCCCTGAGCTAACATCTGTCGCCAATCTCCCTCTTTTTTTGCTTGAGGAAGATTAACCCTGAGCTAACATCTGTGCCAGTCTTCCTCTATTTTGTATGTGGGTCACTGCCACAGCATGGCTGATGAGTGGTGTAGGTCCACACCCAGGATCCAAACCCATGAACCCGGGCTGCCAAAGTGAAGTGCACTGAACTTAGCCACTACGTCATAGGGCCGGCCCTCATGTGTGGTTGGTTTTTCAGGCTTCTTCCTCCTCTGGAGGGCACCTGTGGGCATTGCCTAGGTCCTGGGTTTGAGTGTGTGTGTGTTGGGTGGTGAAGGTGTGAGTGTATCCACTATCTCCAGTTAGACTCTAGGCTCCTTGAGGAAGCTTATTTCCTTTGCATCTTTCCCAGGGTCATGCCAAAGGTTATGATGGTTGAGGCTGAAGAAATTGGAAAAAATACCAGTTTGGGGTTGTGATTGTCTGATGGGGCCATGAAGTCCACAGTGTATCCTCAATTTAGAATGGAAGTGGCCCCTGCCAGTCATGCTGGGAATGGTTGCTGCTTGGGCAGGGCACATGGTGGGGCTCGGGTTCAGTGTAGGTGCCATTTTCTCTTTTCTCTAGACTGGGCCCCAAGGCACAAGCTGTCTGGGAGCTTGAGGATGAGATGCCCTTGGACACAGAGGACAGCCAGAAGGGAGCTGCACCATGAGCCTCTGCTTCTGTCCTCGCAGCAGCAGCAGCAGCAGAGGAGAGAAAGAAACAAACTTCTAGGGAGGTGGTTGTACAGAGTGGTCTCCCTGAGGTGTAGAGTTGCCAGATTTAGCAAATAAAAATACAGGGTGCCTGGTTCAATTTGGCTTTCACATCAACAACAAACAACTTTTTAGTATGAGTTCACCCATGCCAACTCTGGAACATACTTATACTAAAAAAGTATTTGTTGTTCCTCTGAAATTCAACTTCACATTGTTGAGGGTGGGCATCTTGCATTTTATCTGACAATTCTACCGAGGTGGGACTAGGGGTGTGGAAGAAAGCTGAGCAAGTAGAGAAGAGATCTGGGGGTCAGGAGGAACCAGGAGTGGCTCTGGAATGTACTTGAAGCAGTTCCATTGCAAACCCAGCAGGGGGCATTTTACAGGGGCCAATTCCAGCGAGTAGGCAGATGGCACAATTGAAACATGAGTATGGGGTACAGGCTAGTCCCCTGGTGCTCACCTTCTCCTGAGAGGGCCATCAGGCCAGTGTCGGTGGGCTCCACAGGAACCACTGAAAAAGAGAGCCCCCAATAGCAATGACTGATGGACACAGTGTCAACACCAAGTGCCAACAGTCTCAAAGGACAGGCTGGGGACTGCTGGACCAAGGGAGGAAGGGGACTGTAAATGGTGTTGCCAGAGAAGGGCTGTTCATCCTGTCTTAGGATTCCCTTGCCTCTCTCACACCTCCCAGAACCTGGGGGTGTCCAGCAAGGCCCCAGCTCAGGAGGGCCTCCAGCCAGTGCTGGGTTCTGGTGGAGAAGGTGACCCTCGGACACGGGCTGAAGGTAATGACAGGGCTGCAAACCCTGAAGGTTTGTGGCTGTGGAGTATGGTATCCCGACTTGAGGAGACCTCTGTTCAAAAGGGAGGCAGGTGGCAGAGGAAAAAGAGCACTGGACTCAGAAGATACATAGAGATACAACATGCACACACACACCCATACACACAGGTGCACATGGGCACACACGCACCTACTCACACCCATTCACAAGCACACATTTCTGCATACACCCATGCACACACACTCATATACACATGTGTGCACACCCACAAATCTATGCACACACAGCTACATCATCTTCCTCTTCATCAAACACTGCAGGGCTAGTTCTGAGAAAGAGACCCCAGCCTCAGGAAAGGAGGGATGCTCTGCAGAGGTACACCTTGAACTTCCTCTCCCCAGGTACCCATGATGTTGAGACTGAGAGATTGTGGGAACTTCCGTGAACAAGGAATGACAGGCATAAATTTAACTCTTGCTTTTTTCATAAGATGCATGTTTTAGAACAGGAATCACCAACTGCTTAGTTCAATAGACAGTTATGAAGAGCCTACCCTGCCCTGAAAAGAGACACACTAAAAGCAGCCTCCCCTTGAAAGAGCCTCCATCTGGATCCAGGTGCCCCTCTTGCTGCAGGCTCTGGAGGGCAGAGGAGGGAGGCAGCAGTTCTGCTCCTGGGCTGCCTCGGTGGTCAGGAGCTCACCCAGCTGGGAGAGGCCTTGCTCCGTCTGAGCACTAGACCTTGTCCTGGTCACACTGCATACCAGGGCTCTGACTATAGAGTCAGCAAGGAGAGAGAAAGAACTTGAGGTCTACATCCTAACTGGATGAAATCCATACCCGTCCATGTAGCAAGGGACAATGTTTGCACTAGGGCCGTTTGATGTTGGATGGTTGAATTGCATTTATCAGAAGCAATGGGATCTCCTGGCCAGGGGGAGGTGGGGACATCTCCAGTGCCATAGGTCACTCCAGCTTCTGTGAGGCAGGCCCCGAGGTGAATGCACCGGCTCCCATCAGTAGCTGGCCCCTGTGGTCTGAGTAGGAGCTAGTTTCCCTGGAAGGCCTTACCTCTGGGCAGAAGCGTTGTCAGCTCTTTCCTGCTGGTTGTCTCTGAAAAGAAAACACATTGGAAAGTCTCCTTAGAGCAGTGGATTTGGGGGATGTTAGAAGGTGCTGGACTTAGCATCTGAAGCTACACAGCAGTGATTGGTCCCATACCAGCTCCTGCCCCAGATCATCAACCCCACCGCTGATGCAGGGCCCGTTCTTCCTACCTGGAGGCTGAGCCAGACAGAAGGAAGTGTCCAGAAGGTTCAGAGAAGAGTTGATACTGGACTGAGCCAAGCACTCTATAGCAGCCTTGTCGCAGGTACACAGCAGGTGCTCACAAGGGTCCCTGGACTCTGTGCACAGAGCAAGGGCAGAGCCGGTTGGAAGACCTCACTTGGAATCCTTAGAGTTTATGCAGACTCTAAAGCTGACTCCTCATCTGCCCGACAAAACCCCGCTCCTCTTGCAGTCTTCATCTCATATGTGTCAACTCCATCTCTCCAGCTGCATAGGCCCAACCTGGAGTCATACCCGCTCCTCTTCTCTCTCACACCCAACCCATCAGGCCATCCTATTGGCTCTACTTGCAGCCTATTTAGGGTCTGACCATGTCTCTCCATCTCCACTCCACTACTCTGGGCCAGGCCATCTCTTGCCTGGGTTATGTCAATGGCCTCCTGCCTAGTCTCCCTGCCTCCCCTCCTGCTGCCCAGTCTATTCTCTTTAGACAGCCAGAACAATCCTTTGAAAACTCAGGTCAAACCATGTCTTTTTTTGTGTTCAGAACCCTCCAACAACTTCCCAACTCAAAGTAAAAGCCACTGCCCCTGTTCCTTCTCAGATCTCAGCTCCTTACACTCCTCTCTCATCACCCCATTTCTGACTCACTGGCCCCTGTTTCTCAAACACACCAGGCCCCTGGAGGCTCGGGGTCCACCCACGTGGTGTGTCCTCCATCTGTGCTGCTCTTCTCGCTTCCTGCCTCGTCTCAGTCTTTGCTCAACTGTCATCTTCTCAGGAGACTTCTCTTGACTTTCCTATGTAAATAGGAACCCCCACCCCGGCCCTCCCTATGCCTTTTCCCCAATTTATTTTCCTCCATAGCTCTTGTCACTATCTAACATACTATATAATTTATTTTCGATATTTTCAGTGTCTGAAAACCATGAGGAAATTCCAGAAGGTCAGGATATCCCCAACACCTAGACGACGTCTTGCACTTGGTGCAGATGCTCAGAAGGTATCTGTTGAATGAATGAATGAATGGTGTTTTCTGGATTTGCTATGTACCTCACCTAGTGATTTACACCGATGGCTCACCTCACTCCTTCTGGAGGCTCCATCCTCCGGCCAGTCCTTGTTACCTGGACTTTGGAGTCAATCGAAACTGAGTTCAAACCCTGGCTCTGCCACTTAGCAGCAGTGTGACTTTGGGCAAGTTATTTAATTTCTCTGAGAAACTCTCTTTGTCTGAAAACTGGGAACAATGACCCCCGTCTAATAGGGTAGTTAGGATGGTCAGAGTTGCTGTGTATAAAGCCTATGTCACACAACAGGCACTCATCCAGGTTGGCTCTAACACGGTCTCCCTACCCGCCATGCTCCTCTCCCTTTGTGCCTTTGCCCATTCTTCTTCTTCTGCCAGGATTGCCCAAAGACATGAAATAAAATTCCTGGCATCACACAGCAAGGTGGAGAGCTGAGATTTGAACCCATGTGTGTCTGATTCTTACAAACAGCAACACCCGCAAGCCTTGTTCATCCATCACTGCCTCTACCTCTACTGCCATCGTTGAGTTCTCAACACATGCCAGTCACCGTGTTAAGTGCTTTATGAACATTATTTAATTTTCATAAAATCTCTGAAGCAGGCTTTCTCCTCCCCATTTTGTAGCCCTTCCAAGCCGCTTAGCAGCAATGCCCGTCCCAAGCTCCCAGGGTTGCAACAAGTATAAAATTATAAATCAAATAATCTGCTGATCTACTATTATTTCAAAAACAATTCAAAAAGCATTTATTGCTCATCTACTTCATGTAAGGTGCAGATGCCGTAGATCCGGCCGTCATGGGGCTCTGGTACAGACAGTCATGTTGCCAGTGGCGATGATGTTGAGGGTGGCCCCTGGAAGCCTTTGGCCTGGTCCAGGCCTGGGGTGCCTAACTGTCATTTCTCAGCCCAGCCCCTGGGACACCTGGAGATGCTCACCACACGTGATGGTCTTGCTGATGCAGTCGACATCTGTGCTAAGCTTGGCAGGGTCTTGGAGACAGTCCATCTCAGCGGCCTCCTCGTAGCACCTGCGATGCTGGAAGCAGCAGCTGTGGCACAGTGGGGAGGGTCAGGGTGAGAGCGTGGGTTAGGGTTAGCAGAGGGGCAGGCAGCGCATGATCGTTCTGTATCTCTGGATGGTTCCTGGCAGCGGTCTGTTTCAAATACTCAGTGCACACACACACACAATACTTGAATTGTATTACCTGTGCAGGAGGTGCTATTATTATTATTATTTTATTATTTTTTGTGAGGAAGACCAGCCCTGAGCTAACATCTGACGCCAATCCTCCTGTTTTTTGCTGAGGAAGACTGGCTCTGGGCTAACATCCATGCCCATCTTCCTCTACTTTATATGGGCCGCCGCCACAGCATGGCTTAACAAGTGGTGCATCCGTGTGCACCCGGGATCCAAACCCCGGGCCGCCGCAGTGGAGCGCGCGCGCGCACTTAACCGCTTGCGCCACCAGGCCAGCCCCTGCTATTATTATTATGAGCATTTACATATGTAGAGACTGAGACACACGGGGCTCTATAATTTGCCAAGGTCAAGATCCATCACAGAGCGAGGCAGACGCTAAACATGGGAGTCACGTGGCTCTTACAGTGCACACAGGAGGTAAGTGGAGACCAATGTAATGAAGAAAAAATATACAGGCAGCTGATGGCCTTGAGCAAGCTACTAAGCTTCTCACACCACCTAACTCATAAAAATTTTTGGAATTCAAGAAAACGTCTATATTGATCTTGCCATGGGTTAGGCACTTAATGGTAGCAATTATTCTTGGAATCTGATGTGCAAGCTCAAGGTGGATACAACCTTTCCTCCAGGAGTTTGGAAATTCCCACCCCAATCAACTGAACTGTGTAAAGTAATTGAAATTGGGTGTGACCCACTATTCTGCCAGCTTTGGGCCATCGGTGCTTTGATCATTTAGACAGTGATGAATTACTGCTTCATTTCTTTGACTTCTAGGTGTACAAGGTGTTTTAATAACTAAGGGAATTGGTAAGGGAGGACCTTAAAGGAAAACACATTCCAGAAGTGGCCCTGGCACCATGCCCCGTACAGAATCAGCCTCTCCCTGTCTGAATGTCAATGAGCTGGCTCCAGGATGTGCTCATGGTCCCAGAGATGCGAAACTGCCCTTTTGTCCAGAAGCAAGTGACACCAGTGGGCTGTCTGATGTGTTACAAAGAGGAGTCCTTCTCTACCTTCTGCGGGTCTGTGTAGATGAGAGCACATGCTCCATCACACTGGATTTGGGCACAGGTATAAAAGCAATGAGGTGGAGACTTGGTTCCTCGAGTAGAGGTGAGATGAGGGTTCACTTTCCTGCTTCCATACTGTGGCTGCTGCTGCTCCTGCGGTCACTGTGGCTCCAATTACTGCTCTTACTACTGCTGCTACTACTACCACCACTACAGGTTTACTAGTACTGCTGCTGCTGTTGCTATTACTACTGTTACCACTATCGTTACTACTAATACTACTACAGCTACTGTGACAACTGTTACTACTACTATTGTTACTATTACTTCTACTCCTACTACTACTACTACCATGGCTTTACTAGTACTGCTACTATTGCTACACTGCAGCTGCTGTTGCTATTACTACTGTGACTACTGCTGTTACTACTAATACTACTACAGCTACTATGACAACTGCTATCACTACTATTGTTGCTATTAATACTACTACTATGGCCCTACTATGACTGCTACTACTGCTATCACTACTACTATCATAACTATCACTATTACTATTACAGCCCCACTATTACTGTTACTGTTGCGACCAACCACTAATAATCTTGAAGACTTAATAAGCCAGGCAGAATCCCAATCACTTTAATTTGGTGATTTAATCCTCAATAATAACTCTATGAGGTAGGTATTATTATTATCTCCATTTTACAGATGAAGAAACTGGAACGCAAAGTTAAATAACTTGCTTAAGGTCACAGGGTCCATAGGAACAGAGAATTGGGATTACTGGGTCATAGGTGATATGCCTTAATACTCCAACAGGTACCGCCACGTTTTCCCAATTGACCCTCCCGCTACCCGTATCTATTTGCCATACCCCTACTAACACTTGACGCTGCTAAGGTTTTAAATTTTATTGCATACGCCCATACACACTCATGCACACGCACGCAGTCCGGGGAGCTTTCCTTGTCCGTGCTCTGCCTGAGTAGCAGCCAGGCCTCCAGGAGCCCACCTTTTGGTCTTGCTCACCTGTCAGACTCGTCCACAGGCAGCCCTTCCATCTCAAACCTGCAGGCGCAGCCGTAGTCTTCGAAGTCCCGGGGGCAGAGCCCGGCCACACACTTCATGCCGCTCACGAACTGCAGCAGCGCGGGGAAGCTGGTGAGGACGGCCTGCAGCCAGGTGAAGCGGGAGCCCAGGCAATCTGGGGGAGGCGGAGCAGGGCGCGCTGGGAACCAGAGTCCAAGAGGGAGCCCCTGCTCCCGGACCTCCTACCCCTTGGGCTGATGGTGCTGCCTCAAGCGACTGAGCACCTACTGTGGGCTCAGGACTGTTCAGGACAACTGAAGAGAGGCAGGTTTATAAGCCGTGGTCCCTGTTGGTAACGGCCAGTATCCCCTCTTCCTGCCAACAAAACTGACAAGTACTCAAGGAAGCTGAGCCTTCTCCCCAAATCCCTGGCGAAGTTTCATGATCATTCTCAGCTGGGCATGGTAATCCCGTGCTTCCAGGACAGTGGCTGGTCTAGGGCTGAGCATGTGACCCAGATCTGGCCAAAACAACTGAAGGGGAAGTCTGTTAGAGGTTTTCAGAAAACATTTTTTTTCCTAATAAAGAATAAAGGCATGTGAGAAGATCCTTTTGATCTACACCTTTCTCCTTCCTTGAATGTCAGTGAGGATATGCTGGCTGGAACTGCAGCAACCACCTTGCAACCCTGAGGCCCCACGCCTAAAGATGAAAAACCCATATGCTCAGGGTAGCAGCGCGGCAAGATAGAATGAGCCTGCTGGGTCTGTGATACACGTGAGCTGCTGCACCAGTCCTGGTGCCCTCAGATGGCCTATGTGAGATGATTAAATGTCTTTATTGTTTAAGTCACTATTAGTTTGCTGAATGGATCCCAGATGATACAGTCCTGGCACTAAAGAATCATAAGTCAGAGAAGGGGTACAGACACTAATAATTTGGGGGCACCTACTATGTGCCAGAAACTGTGATAGGTGCTTAACAATAGCTAAGAATGATAGAGTAATGCTTTAGACAGCATTCACTTGGTCTATTGTCCCGTAAACCTCATGTTACTTCTGCAAGGCAGATGCTATTCTGTCACCTCCATTTCACAGCTAAAGAAACTGAAGGTCAGAGACATGCAGAGGTATCAACCAGCAATGACGACTTGCCCTAAACAAAAAGACTCTTGCAAACAAAATTGGCACAAAACTGGTATCCAGTTTTTGGACTCTAAATGGCGTGCTCACCCTCTCCACTCTGCCTTTCTGACTGGAGGATCAGTAAGTGCTAAATGGGTTGATCCCACAGCACTGACTTAATGCACAGGGTCACAAGAGGGAGCTTGCGGGGATCAAAGAGTAGCCTGTGAGGACCAGCTCCACCCTGGACTGTTTTTCGAGTTCTGTTCTCATTCAAACTTCCTTTCCCATGTTTTGTGTCCACACGGCCTAATCAGAAACAGGAAGAAATGATTCTATACTGGTGGAAAAAGACACTCTAAGGTTTCCGTGTGTGTGTGTTTATATAAACATGCATTTTCATTCAGAAATTGACAGGCCACCCCACTTAGTCATCTATACATTTTAAGCGCAGTCATGCTCAGCATTGTTTAATCCAACAGCAGTTCAGAGTCTCCTTGCTCCTGTCAATCATATGATAATCTTATTTTGGGATATTTTTAGTAATCAATGATAGGAGCCATCATGGTGTCCTGCAGTTGATAGTCACATGATAGATATGTGATTGATCAATGGAATATTTGACACCTTTTGAAATTCTTAGCATTTATATTTATTAGTTGAGGAGAGAAAATAAAAGCACTTTGTTGTAGGGGGTCTAAGCTCAGGACTCAGAGAAGGACTTCTCCCTTCTAGCTGTGTGGCCCTGGGCAAGTCACTTAGCTCCCTTAGCCTCAGTTTCCTCACCTGTGAAATGGGGATCCCATTCCCCTCCTGGCCAGGTTGTGGTCAGGACTAATGAAGTAAGGACTCTGAAGGCACCTGGCTACTCAGTGACCCTCCCTGCAATAAAAGGCACTGCTACCCTCGTCAGAACCTGGATCTCATTGTTGGGAGCTTGCTAGGGAGTGCCGCGGGAGCTCAGAGTGCAGAGACCAAGACCCTGGTAATTTCCTTAGATTTCCCACACAACCCCTATGCCCTGACACCTGGTGGATAAAAGCAATTTCAAATTTAACTTACCAAAAATTTCAGCCACATTTTCCACGTTTTTAAACACCCCATTGAAGAATGTGATATCTTAGTGGAAGGAAGAGAAAACAAATTAGAGAGTGTGGTTTCTCCCTTTCCGCTTCGGTGTCCATCCCCTGGGTGAAGAGTAAGTCAAAGCCTTTCTCTAAAGATAGATTTGACCTTGGGCTAACTTGCTAGTAACACAGGTTACCATGGAGACCCGATAAGATGACATGGGAACTGTGTTACTAGGCAACATTGCTCAATGATAAAAAGACCCCTGGATGATAAGGTGTATCTGGACTGGCAGGCACTATGGGTGAACTATAAATACCCGGTGTGAAGTCATCATTTTGGATCTCCCTCAGTGTGATAACTCTTGCAGCTGAGGATGTCCCTTCTGGGCATCCTAGAAATTATACCTATGAAGTTGTTACTAGAGATACTGATTCCTACGATAAATGAAGCTTCCAGGCCAGGGAGGGTCCTGTGGCTGCTCCACGTGAGCCACATTCCCTTGTCCCCGTGCTGTGATCTAGGGGCTCCTGGACTGCTGTGTAGATTGCTGCCAGGCCACTGTTCCTGAAGAGGAATGGCTGCCCCTGGCACATCGTGTTACCTGGGCTTGATTCTTCTAAGTGCTAAGTGTGACCTGTCAGTCTAAACATCTACCTGAAGAAGGCCTCCTGGTGGGCATTGCACTTCCCATGGGGTTATGCCGTTTGGAGAGAGACCAAATTGTCATTTGGGTCTGGGTGGGACTGACCACTTTGCTTGCATGGGCTCACGCACAAAAAATTTGGTTGACTCAGCTCACCTGTCTGAAAAGTCAGAAATGAACCCTTAATTCAGGGCTACCATCACCAGCTAGTTCACTATGCATTATGTTCTTCAGTAATACCCATATAAGAACCCACCTGACAGATCTTTATAATCCATTACCAGGAAAACTTTCCCCTCCCCAAAGAACAATTAAAAATCCTCTTTTCTAATAACTAGAGTGCTGCAATACATCACCTTTCTCTTTTTGTCCTGCCTTCTAGGAAGCTCAGAGCTCAAAGTGAAGCTAAAATACAGTTACCATATAACCCTATGATAAGCACATTTACTTCCTTCTCCTAGTTTCTCCTTTCAGGCGACTTTTGTCTTTTGATGGGAGTCTTTAGTACTTTAAAGAAGAGACCAATGGTGGATCAGATACCAGGAAAGACTGTTGAGGGAAGGGCTTTTGAGTCTCATTTGAATCACTTTACCTACAAATGCCCCAGCAGTGGCTCTAGGGTATATTTAGAAGGGATCATTTTCTCTGCTAATATCCTAGGCAAATTTCTACCCAGCTAGATCTCTTAAGAAAAGTTGAAAGAATCCTTACTGATATTTTTTGAGAGTCCTGGAGGCAGCTCCCGTGGAAGGTGTGGGGTGTCCAGAGGATGGCCCCCTATAATTGAGGAGAAGAGCAGGGTTAGCATGAACACTGCCACTGCCCACTTGCTGAACTAAGGCGGGGAGGTGGCAGCCAGGACGGATGGCAACAAGGATGAATGTAAATTCAATTCTATGCATATTTTTCTAGTACCTGCTATATGCCAGATCTCTGTGGTAGCTCTTGAAGAAAAAAAAGGAGTGGCCGGGGTGGCCCCAGTATTTTGCATTGGTTAGCTTTAAGAGTGGCCTTCTGGTTGATGATAGGGAGATTTGGGGACTTATCTTGAAGCTGTTGTTGCATATGAAGCATGCCATTTTAATTTAGACTGCATGTTTGTTTGGAGTGTCTTGAGATGAAAGATTGGTAGAAATAAATACAGACATGGAAACGACCTTGGCCCCCAAGGAATTTATGATTGAGGAAGGGGTTTTCCACACTATCAGCGTCAAGCTCACCTGGGATGCAGGCTCAGTAAACATTCTGATCTCTGTGCCCTCACTCAGGTCTGATCCAACAGGTCTGGAGTGGGGCTCAGAAATAGGTATTTTTAACAAGCTCCCAGGTGGTTTCAAAGCTAATAGTCTAGAAACAGCACCTCGAGAAAAATTGCTTGGGGGAAAATGATGATAGGGTGAAGGGCCTATACCAGTACCCAAATACTACCACCATCTTCAGTCAACATCGCATCATAGTGGGAGCGTGAGGATGCAGCTTGGGGAAATGGGGACAAATAGATGGGAGTTGGAATCTCAGTTCAATCAGGGACCAGCTCCCTAGGGGCTCAGAGAGCTTATAGACTTGTCCACATTGTATTTTTCCCCTTCCAGTTATATACAGCATGTGAGTAGTCTGAAAATGTTGAAAAATTTTTATCTTTCTTCACAGAGTAGTCAAGTTAGTTAGGCCAATTACTTTGACATTGTTTGGAAACCTATAAATAGGAAAGCCTTCACAGAAGCGTGTTAGATTAAATCTGTTTAGGAAGATGATCACATTGATGCCTGACTTGGCCCTGCTTGGCTTAGGATGGCTTTCTCATCCTTGGACTATTGACGTTTAGGATTGGATAATTTTCTGCTGTGAGGGGTTGTCCTGTGCATTTTGGGGGAATGAAGGCATCCCTGGTTAAGAACCGGCACTCAGAGGGAAAGAATCTGGGCAGAGGAAAGGGATCTTGGCTGAAATAGTCATCTGCCTGGATCTTGTCTCTTATGTTATACCTTCAACCAGTATCCAGAATATGCTACATTCACTTTCTTCAGATAAAATTCGTTCCCCTTAGAGTTTCCAGAAAAACCTCACAAAGAAGAAAGTTTCCAGAAAAACCTCACTGAGTCCTTTCTAGTGGAGACAATCTCACTGGTGAGAGGAGTAACAATGGTGGAAGCAAAAACTTTTGTCATTGCTGCCAGTATTGGGTCTGGAGTTTTTGGTAGACCATCTCTGTAAGATTTTTCAAATTTCAGTCATTGGCATATCATCTGTAATATATACTTCTGTTCTTAATATATACTTTTAAGGTTTTTTTTTCGTTGTTGTTTTATTAAAAGAGGATTTGATTTACTTCCCAATTATAACAGGTTTGTTTCATCTGGTAGCCCCAATGACTCTGAACTTATATGTGCACAATAACATGGTCTCAAAATATATAAAGCCAAATTTGACAGAATTGCAAAGAGAAAATTTCAAATTTGTCTGTGGGAGATTTTCCTTAATAAGCCAACTCACTTTTATAAAAGATAAATACATTTATTTTTAAAGGAAACTTTTAATTATAAATGGAAAACCATTATAAATTGCTATGATTAGAATGAATAGAAAGAAATTGTAAAAAGTGTAAAAACAAAATAAAATAAAAATTAGTTTAAAAAGTGGTCATCTATGTATTATCTGCTATCATCCATGTACCCCCAGCAGTCCACATGTTATTTCATGTAATCTCACAAACACCTTATGACACCTTGTATTGTTATCCCCATTTTACAGATGAGAAGACCGAAATCAGAGATATAGAGCCTTGCTCCTGATCAGAAAACCAGGAAGTCATTGAGCTGGGATGAGAATCCACATCTGTTGGATTCCAAAGCCCAGGCTTTGCCCTCTGTGCCATGGTACATACAAATGCCAAAGGTTCACAGGAGGAAGATCTCATCGGCCTTGGACTGATTGAAGAAGGCCTTGAGCTGGTCTAAAGAGTGGGCAGGAGTTGAACAGGAGTTGGACAGATGAGTGAAGGACATTTCTGAAAAAGGAAAACAAAGGAAAGAGAGATGGATGCAGGGACAAGTAAGGTGGCTGCAGGGAACAGCACAGCCGGAAGAAGGATACCAGTAAGAGCACTCGGCTGGGAGTCAGAAATCTCATATGCCAGTCCTCACTCTGCCTCCAAGTCCCATCCTACAGTTTCCTCCTGTCTAGAGTGGGGGCTGGATAGGATCATCTTTAGATCTCTTCTAAGCTCTAATGTTGCTTTGTTTTCCTTCTTCAGTGTGAAGAACAAAATGGAGACTAATGTTTATTGAGATCTTCCATGGGTCAGGGTATATCATGCAAGTCATGATATATACATTGTGTCATTTTATTTCACAAACATCTTGCCAGGCAGATACAACTGTCTCCATTTTACAGAGGATCAAACTGAGATCCAAAAAGGAAAGGTGACGTGCTGCAAGTCTCACAGCTGGGATGTAGGAGGGGTGGCCTCTAGCCTGGTCTTCTGACTCTAGTCCAGTGTCTATTTCCATCTCCCTGCAGCCTCCCAGAATCCTCTGGGCAGAGGTGGCTGCAGCGAGGTGTGCAAACATCCTTGGGCCCTCGCTTAGAGGCAGGATGTGTCCCAGGTCCCAGGAAGAGGCTTATTTGACTGAGGATGGCTGAGGACGTGAGGATTTCAGGTGACCCTCCCCTGGTGGGTGAGTCTTCGTGGAGAAGGTATTCCTACAATTCCACCTGCACTGGGCCTGCTCAGAATCTTCCGTGGCTTCCCTTAGCGTGGCCTTCAAGATCCACATCACCTGGATCCTCCTCCCTTTGCAGCCTCCTTTACTGCCACTCTGCCCTCCCTGCTCCTGGCACAGCCAATTGCTTCAGGTCCCTAAGCTTTTGCTCCTGTTGTCCCCATTGCTCAGAAAGCCCCCATGATGTCCTGGTGAGGTAGGGCTTAGTACTTCCATCAGGGAACTTATTAGGGTGACACAGTGGGTACAGGCAAGATCTGATGTCAAGTCTGTTAGACTCAAAACAGTCATGTTTTATGTGAACTTGAATCATATAGAGGTGAAATAGTGCAAGACAGAATGTTAATGACATATCACTTTATGCATACAGTTTGAAATAATGCAAATCAGCACATGCCATAGCATCCAAAGATGGCAGCTGAAGAAGTGGTAACCTCTGATTCATCACTGCCACATCATGGCGTGACGTTGGCAGGTAAATGCTCCTTAAGTGGTTAGGTCTGTGCTATGCTGGAAAATGCAACCTCTGTCTAATAACTTTGGGATGAAAGCAGTGAAGGTTGTGATAGCTAAAAAGCTCTGGAAAAGGCCATCAGCTCCCAGAAACGCCAGGCATTTAATTGAGGAGAAGGCACTTTGTAAAATGCTACCGATGTGCTGAGAACACAAGAAGGTGCTGTTAATCAGGCACATTTTTACATCCACGAAGAATGAAGGAGTGAGGGGAACGGAAAAAATGCTAGTGACTTGGCTCTATGATCAACACCCCCTCCTGTGCCCTGATATGCTTCTGAACAACAACTGCTGTGGATTCACGCACTGAGACACAGCCCTCTACCCTGAATTTATCCACAGTGGAAACAGTTAAAGGATGCAAGTTTTGAATTGCATGAGATATTCGGGCAGGTAGCCAATGGGACTTGGCCTTTTCCCAACCTTGGTCACTAGGCTGGGCTGTCTCCCAGGGGCCTTGAATATTCATTAAGAGGCTGGGGGTCTATAGAGAATCAAGGAGGGTTTGGAGCAATGGTGTGATATCAGACCAAGTTAGGCCTGAAAGATCTGACAACATGGAATCAAAGAAGCATTGTGAAGATCGAAAGAAATAACATCAGGAGGGATGCTATGGACACTCAAATGTTATGCCAGCCATTTATTATTATTATTATTACTATTATTATTATTATCATTATTAACTTCTTCTCTTCACCGCTGCCTTTTCTCTCTACACCAACAAGTGTTTGCATTGCTTGGACTTACCTTCATCATCAACCTCATCATTATCACTGTGAAATTGTCTTGGGGGACACAGACATCTTTAGCAGTTACTTGTCTTGGGGAGAGCAGCCTCCGCATCTACACACCCTGTGGGTCTCACCCTGGTCCGGGCAGCCTGGGCCCTCTGCTGTCAGACCCTCCAGGGATGGTTTGGAGGGAGATGCAGCTGCCCTCATGTGGACCATCCTCAGCCATCCCGTGGGATGAGGTCAGCCCGGCACCAGTCCTCCCTTCCCAGCCTGAGGTGCTCTGTGGCCTTGGGCAGGCACAGCCTCTCTAAACCTCCGATTTCTCACGAGAAAGCACAAGGGGATGGGGACTGAAGAGTCACCTTGGACCTTTCCAGATCAAAGGACAAAGACCCTAGATTTTTTCCCATTCTCTTGATGACACCAATTGATGTTGACAGAAGAATAGCCACGGTATGGAGTGTGGATAAGGAGGTATTGAGAGATGCTTCATAGAGTCACCTGAAGATGATTTGGAACAATGAAGAGTTTTCCAGAAGGCAAGGTGGGGAAGAGGCAAAAGCAAAGACATAATGATGTGAAACTGTGTGGTGTATCTAGGGGACTACAGTGGGTTGGTACAGCTGGGACCATGTCCCCAATGGACTCCACATTCCAACCATCCTGAATTGCTCTCAGTTCTCTCACTGTGCCCTGGTCCCTGGGCCTTTGCACAGGCTGTGCCCTCTGCTGGAATACCTTGACCATGACTCAGCCTGGCTGACCCCCACTCATCATGTAAGCTTAGTTTTAACAACATCATATGGAA